ATCTAAGATGTTTTCTAAATTATTTCAGGTAAGCACAAGGGTACTAGAGAGGCAAGGTTGCCAACTAAAGTACTTTGGATGAGGAGAATGAGGGTGCTCAGGCGCTTGCTTCGCAAGTACAGGGAGTCAAAGAAGATTGACAAGCACATGTATCATGACATGTACATGAAGGTAAAGGGTAATGTTTTAAAACTAAGTGTGTTTTGATGGAGAGCATCCACAAATCTAAGGCTGAGAAGGCAGAGAAAAGATCTTGTCAGACCAATTCGATGCTAAGAGAGCAAAGAACAAGGTAGCAGGGAATGAAAGATAGGTAGGATGGAGGAGATTAACTGCATTCCCTTTGTAGGCTTTGTTCAATAGTAACTATTGTAACAATTGAATTATATATAGAAGCTTCAAGCATTGATATCCAAATTAAGGCTATCAAAATATATAAGCCCCCTATTTGGTTTAGATAAAAATCAGATTTTTAGTAGATTTTAATATAGTTGATGAAATGTGTGATTGAAAATTGATAAAAGTTATGAATCCGATGTGATTGAAAATGATTGATAAAGTTGATGAAATATGTGATTGAAAATCTTTCCTTATGACTACATTAGCTAATTCCAGTTGAATTGACTATTGAGAAATCATATAATCGCCCGTCATCTTATGTTCTGTTATACAATGATTTTTATACTGCGTTGAAAAAGTGTGGTTGGGCTTTGCCCGAGCATTTTTAAGTGGAGTAGGATTCTTTCTTGTGAAACTTTGTGACTTTCAAGATTTCTATTTGCTCAATCATTTCGTACTTTTTGGGGTTTGTCAATGTTGAAGGGTTTACATGAGTGGTGATGTTATCAACGTTAAAGGGTTTTCACAAGTGCTTAAAAGTTACTTTTAAGTATTTTTTTTTCTAACAGGTTAAAAGCTTGTTTCCAAAAGGAGATTCTGAAATCATCATAACGAACTGGTATGAAATGCTCAAGTGAGCTAAGAATAAAATTTCATAATCTGAAACTGCACAAAATCATCATTCCTAATAAAATCGTCCATGTCCATGAATAGACGATTCAGCTGATGTATAATTTAGTCTCCTGACTTTAACAATCCCACAAGGACAGTCGAGCCATCTCATGGCATCCTCAGAATTTGTTTGTACGTTGACAGACTATTTATCGCTCCATTTGTTCAGTAACTTCTGCTTTTAACACTTAAGAATCAGAAAAGAAAGGTTACGTGGTTAATCATTAAACTATGTTATTTAATACTATATTAA